CTCCAGGTTATAGATTCCACGAAGCTCCTCGGCGTCACCATAGACAACAAACTAAATTGGAAACCACACGTCAGTGAAGTTGTCAAATCCTCCAGTTTCCGTCTCCACCTCCACCGCCGACTCAAGTCCCTCGGAGTTCCTGCACCCGAGCTCCTCAGTGTTTACACAACATTCATACTTCCCAAGCTCACCTATGCCTCCCCCACCTGGTCTTCCTCCCTAAATGCCACACAACGTAAACACCTAGAAAAAGTGCAAAAGAGGGCATGCAAGATTATTCTCTCCCCTTCCTACTCCACATATCAAGAAGCGCTCAACACACTGACCCTTTCGACTCTCACTGACCATCACCACGACCTCATCTGCAAATTTGGTAAGAAGCTTCTACACCATCCTCGACACCGGCTCCTACTACCACCTGAGATCCCTAACCCGAGAATTGCTGTTCGACACCACAACCGCATCCAGCCCATACGTGCACGAACTGATCGCTATAAGAACAGCCCAGTCCCAACCATTGTAAAAATTATCAATAACTAGTAATAGACCAGTGTATTCACTCCCAGTAAACACTACTCCTTGCACTGTCACTATGTTGAAATGAACTGTAGTTTGAGCTTTTCCCCATCTAGTTATTATATATCTTATTTGTGTCACTTATGTTACTTGTATATTATTTATAATTCGAAACCCATTCCCCAAATATGTAACTGTATATTGTCAGCCTTCTGGCTGCCAAGCTCTTTCAATAAACCGTTAACTATTATTATTAAAGAGAAACATCACTCACTCCTTACACACTCCAGCAAACAGTAGTCACACAGTACATACATACATACATACATACATACATACATACATACATACAGTATATACACGTTAACTCACATCAGTCACTATTCTCCACCACAATATCTCAATGAATCGTCCACCACCACACACAATCTTCTCTCATTTGACAGAGAGAGAGAGAGAGAGAGAGAGAGAGAGAGAGAGGAAAAAAAAGAGGAAAATACTTGACGAGAGAGCCCAGAGCAATCAGGGAAACGTTCGCTGGAAGAGTTTGCTCGCTCGCTAGGAGTAAACACTACACTCACGATCATTTACACTTGTAGATGTTTAGCTGCGAGAGTTTGCTGCGGGTAAACGTGAAAGCTATGGACATTTACGCTTGTATAGATGTTTAGCTCTTGGGGGTAAACTTGATAGTTATGATTATTTAAGCTTGTAGATGTTTAGCTGTTAAGAGTTTACATGGGGGGTAAACTCCAAAGCTATGATTATTTAGCTGGGAAGGTTTACATGGAGGGGTAAACTCGAAAGCTATGATCGTATACACCTCTATATATATGTATATATTAGCTGGTAGAGACTGCCCTATAAATATCGCCAGGGATCTATAAAATCAAATCAAAATTAAAATCATCTTCCTGAAATTTCTGTCAATAATTATCACCATTAACCCCCTGCCCTATAAATATCGCCAGGGAACCAGTACATTAAAAATACGGCGCTAGTCTATATCATTAAAGCCATCACCTTTTTAATTTTAATGGTGCTCTTAATTAAGCGACTCCACTAAGGAAGGTGTGGTAGGGAGGTAAGAGGGAAGGGGAGGGTGGGGGGAAGGTGTGGTAGGGAGGTAAGAGGGAAGGGGTAAGAGGGGGGAGGGGGGGGAGGTGGTAGAGGAAGGGGAGGGTGGGTGTGGTAGGGAGGTAAGAGGGAAGGAGGGTGGGGGAAGGTGTGGTAGGGAGGTAAGAGGGAAGGGAGGGTGGGGGAAGTGTGTGGGAGGTGTGAGGTGGTAGGGAGGTAGAGGAAGGGGAGGGTAGGGGTAAGGGTGAAGAGGTGGAAGGTGGATGGGGAAGGGAAGGGGAAAGGAGGGAAGGGTAGAGGGGAAGGGGAAAGGTGGAAAGGGGAAGGAGGGAAGGGGGAAAGGAGGGAAGGGGGAAGGGGGTCTTTTACTTCTCAATCTGGTGAAAATCAAATTAATCTTCTTTTTTTTTAATGGTGGAAGGAAGTTGGTAAGCGATGTGGGCGGCTGAAGTGGTCTTGTGGAGGTCACCTGAAGATTTACCTTAACTCCCCCTCTCCCTCCTCCTCTCTCTCTCTCCCCCTCTCCCTCCTCCCCTCTCTCTCTCTCTCTCCCTCCTCTCTCTCTCTCCCCTCTCCCTCCCCTCTCCCCCTCTCTCACCTTCTCTCCTTACAGCTTATCTTACCTGATTATTAAGCACTCTAAGGCTACCTGTGGAGGTTAGGTTAGCGTTTGATTAAGTTAGGGTTACGGTAGATTACGTTATGTCATAGTTAGATTAGGTTTGATTAGACTAGGTACAGGTAGGTTAGCGTTAAGTTTGGGTACTATTATATTTTGTTTTGTTTAGTTTAAGTTAGGTTAGGTTAGGTTAGCGTTTGATTAGATAAGATTAGGTTAGGTTAGTTTAATCTTAAGATGAAATAAACTGGGGAACTAATCTCTCTGGTGTCCCTTGAGGAGTTGGTTTACTGGCCACCAGGGGAGCCTTTACGAGTCGTCTGTGTCGTCACTCTGTGGTAAAACTCACACTTGTGTTTTATCAACGTGAATCACCTCAACTTAACCTAACTTGACCTAACTTGACTTACCTCTAACCTAACCTACCGCACCCCTAACCTTGCATAAGATAACCTAACCTTACCTACCCTAATCAACCTAACAAAACCTAACCTTACTTAACCTAACTTAACTGGCCTCTAACCTAACCTACCCTTAACCTAACCTAACTGTAGGGCAGCTAGTTAACACAATGACACCTGGTACAAGGTCTACACGGTCGGGACTCTTATCTCAGGCCAACAAGATTACAAGTTTTTTGAGGAAAAACTCTTAATGACAGTGACCGCTGGTGGTAGTAGTTGTGGGGGTGGTGGTAGTAGTTGCGGTGGTGGTAGTTGTGGTAGTAGTTGCGGTGGTGGTAGTTGTGGGGGTGGTGGTAGTAGTTGTGGTGGTGGTGGTAGTAGTAGTTGTTGTGGTGGTGGTGGTGGTGGTGGTAGTTGTTGTGGTGGTGGTGGTAGTAGTAGTAGTTGTTGGCGGTGGCGGTGGTGGTGGTGTAGTAGTGTGTGGTGGTGGTAGTAGTAGTAGTTGTTGTGGTGGTGGTAGTTGTGGTGGTGTGGTGGTGGTAGTAGTTGTGGTGTAGTAGGTGTGGTGGTGGTAGTGTGTGGTGATGGTGGTAGTGATGGTAGTAGTTGTGGTGGTGGTGGTGGTGTAGTAGTGATGGTAGTAGTTGTGGTGGTGGTATATTTTAGGTAGTGGTGGTGGTAAGGAGTGGTGTGGTGGTGGTGGTGGTAGAGGCAGTAATATGTGAACTAGGTAATGTCTGGGGAGCTTAAACCCACAATACAAAGATTAAAAAAATGATAAAAAAAATTATATCTGCCCACATTTTTTTTAACCACTGATAAAGTTCCTTCCCCTCACCCCCCTACCTCTCAACGACCTACCTACCCCTTCACCCCTTACCCTTCAAAGGATTCTCTCACCACCCCCTACCTCTCAACGACCTACCTACCCCCTTCACCTTCAAAGAACTCCTCCCTTTTCCCTTTCCCCTACATACTACCCCACCGCTCTCACCCCCTCCACTAGCCCCCACAGTCTTCTTACCTCAACCCCACCCTACCCCCCTCACCCCAACCCTCACCCCCACCCTCCCCCCTCCCTCTCCCCACCCTACCTCCCCCACTCACTGGCACTACCCCACTCACCCCCACCCTCACCCACTCACCCCCACCCTACTCCCCTCACCCCCCACCCCACATTATCTATATAAAAAAAGTTGTCTATATCCAGAGTAATAATATAAAAATAACAATATTCCCTTTGATGACTTTTATAACCCCAAACATGAACCAATTTCGTACATTAGCCATTTTACTTGACACCAATGTGAAATATAAAAAATTGTGGGGATTTTTTTTTTACTTTTTGGTCTTTTCTTAATTATGGAGAAATTTTAATGTAAACTTGTATTGCGTGAGTTTTTATTTTAGTATTTAATTTTTTTATTATTATTTTTTTTTTAATTTGGTTTATAATTTGTTTTTTTTTTCTTGGCGGTAGGTGAATATTTTTGTTGGGAAGAGTTAATTACGTACGTGTGTGTGTGTGTGTGTGTGTGTGTGTGTGTGTGTGTGTGTGAAAGTGATGACGGTTTTGAAGATGACAGTGGCGATGATAGTGAGGGTGAATGTGAAGGAGGCAGCAGGTGAGGGGAGGCAGTAGGTGAGGGTGGGGAAGCAGCAGGAGGCTAGGGTGAGGGTGGGGGGAGCAGGTGAGGGGAGGCAGTAGGTGAGGGTGGGGGAAGCAGCAGGTGAGGGGAGGCAGGTGAGGGGGGGGAAGCAGCAGGTAAGGGGAGGCAATAGGTGAGGGTGAGGGGAAGCAGTAGGAGAAGCAGCAGGTAAGGGGAGGCAGAGGTGAGGGTGGGGGAAGCAGCAGGTGGGGGAGGCAGGGTGGGGGTGGGGGAAGCAGCAGGTAAGGGAGGCAGTAGGTGAGGGTGAGGGAAGCAGCAGGTGAGGGCAGTAGGTGAGGGTAAGGGAAGCAGCAGGTTAGGGGAGGCAGTAGTGAGGGTGGGGGAAGCAGCAGGTAAGGGGAGGCAGTAGGTGAGGGTGAGGGGAGTCAGTAGGTGAGGGTGAGGGGAAGGGCAGGTAAGGGGAGGCAGTAGGTGAGGGCAAGGGAAGCAGCAGGTGAGGGGAGGAAGCAGGTGAGGGGAGACAACTGACACCTACAATTTCCCTCTTTTATGATTTATTGGTTTTCTGTCAACCCCTCGACCAACCACTGATGGGCGGTGGGTGGAGGGAAGGCGGGAGGGAAAAGGTAATTGGGCGGTGGGTGGAGGGAAGAAGTCGGTGGTTTGTGGTGGGTGGGTGGACGGGTGGAGGGGCGAGCTGAGTGGAGGGGCTGTGGGTGGAGGGCTTGAGGGAGGAAGGACCTGTAGGTGGAGGGCTTGGAGGGAGTGAAGGACCTGTAGGTGGAGGGGAGGGCCTGTGGAGGGAGTGAAGGACCTGTAGGTGGAGGGGCTTGGAGGGAGTGAAGGACCTGTAGGTGGAGGGCTTGGGGGGAGTGAAGGATCTGTAGGTGGAGGGCTTGGAGGGACTTAAGGACCTGTAGGTGGATGGCTTGGAGGGCGTAAAGGACCTGTAGGGGGAGGGCTTGGAAGGAGTGAAGGACCTGTAGGTGGAGGGCTTGGAGGGCGTGAAGGACCTGTAGGTGGAGGGCTTGGAGGGAGTGAAGGACCTGTAGGTGAAGGGCTTGGAGGAACTGAATGGACCTGTAGGTGGAGGCCTTGGAGGAACTGAAGGACCTGTAGGTGCAGGGTTGGAGGGGAGGAAGGACCTGTAGGTGGAGGGCATGGAAGGAGTGAAGGGCCTAGGGGTGGAGGGCTTGGAGGGACTGAAGGACCTGTGGGTGGAGGGCTTGAGGGAGGAAGGACCTGCAAGTGGAGTGGGGGCTTGAGGGACTGAAGGACCTGTGGGTGGAGGGGCTTGGAGGGACTGAAGGACCTGTAGGGGAGGGCTGAGGGACTTAAAGACCTGTAGGTGGATGGCATGGTAGGGAGAAGGACCTAGGTGGAGGGCTTAGAGGGACTGAAGGACCTGTAGGTTGAGGGCTTGGAGGGACTGAAGGACCTGTAGGTGGAGGGCTTGGAGGGACTGAGGGACCTAAGTGGAGGGCTTGAGGGACTGAAGGACCTAGGTGGAGGGCTTGGAGGAGGAAGGACCTGTAGGTGGAGGGCTTGGGAGGACTGAGGGACCTGTAAGTGGAGGGCTTGAGGACTGGAAGGACCTGTAGGTAAAGGGCTTGGAGGGAGTGAAGGACCTGTAGGTGGAGGGCTTGGAGGGAGGAAGGACCTGTAGGTGGAGGGCTTGGAGGAGTGAAGGACCTGTAGGTGGAGGCTTGAGGGAGTGAAGGACCTGTAGGGTGGAGGGCTTGGAGGGAATGAAGGACCTGCAGGTGGAGGGCTTGAGGGGACTGAAGGACCTGTAGGTGGAGGGCTTGGAGGGAGTGAAGGACCTGTAGGTGGAGGGCTTGAGGAGTGAAGGACCTGTGGGTGGAGGGCTTGGGGGAGTGAAGGACCTGTGGGTGGAGGGTTGGAGGGACTGAAGGACCTGTAGGTGGAGGGCTTGGAGGGACTGAAGGACCTGTAGGTGGAGGGCTTGAAGGATTTGTAGATGGAGGGCTTGGAGGGACTGAAGGATTTGTAGATGGAGGCTTGGAGGGAGGAAGGACCTGTAGGTGGAGGGCTTGGAGGGACTGAAGGACCTGTAGGTGGAGGCTTGAGGGACTGAAGGACCTGTAGGTGGAGGGCTTGGGGGGAGTGAAGGACCTGTAGGTGGAGGGCTTGGGGGAGTGAAGGACCTGTAGGTGGAGGGCTTGGGGGAGTGAAGGACCTGTAGGTGAAGGGCTTGGAGGAACTGAATGGACCTGTAGGTGGAGGGACTGGAGGGAGTGGAGGGTTCTTATACCACTAACCAAAACCAACACCAGATGACATTTTCAACAACATTTACTCCACATGGCGACATCTGGCAACCCCAAGAAGCAGCAGGTACCTTAAATTAACCAATATCTCCTAATTATAAAAAAAACCCGTACCTTAATTCTCAATAATTAACATATAAACACCTATAATTTGCTTCCATAACACCAATGACAACACGTAACTATCATTAGAATTATACGCCATTATATACCATGTAAATAACAATGGTATCTCTCGAACCAAATACATATACTAAATAACATTGTTTTCATCAGCCACTGTGTGTGTGTGTGTGTGTGAACCGTCAATTAATTGGAGGGGGGTAAATAGACGGGATATGACAGGTGATATCAGTGGACATTGGTGTGGTGGTGATGGTGGTCTGTTATGTGATGTTTGTAGACAGACAGACAGACAGACAGACAGGCAGGCAGGCAGACAGGCAGGCAGGCAGACAGGCAGACAGACAGAAAGACAGACAGGCAGACAGACAGGCAGACAGACAGACAGGCAGACAGACAGGCAGACAGACAGGCAGGCAGGCAGACAAGGCAGACAGGCAGACAGACAGGCAGACAGACAGACAGGCAGACAGACAGGCAGACGGACAGACAGGCAGGCAGACAAGGCAGACAGACAGACAGGCAGACAGACGAGGCAGACAGACAGACAAGAGGCAGACAGACAGGCAGACGGAAGGCAGGCAGGCAGACAAGGCAGACAGACAGCAGACGGAGCAGACAGACGGGCAGACAGAGACGAGCAGACAGACAGGCAGACAGACGAGCAGGCAGGCGACGAGCAGACGAACAGGCAGACAGACAGACAGGCAGACAGGCAGACAGACAGACGAGCAGACAGACAGACAGACAGGCAGACAGACGGGCAGACAGACGGGCAGACAGACAGACGAGCGAACAGACAGACAGGCAGACAGACAGAGCAGACAGACGAGCAGGCAGACAGACAAGGCAGACAGACAGACAGGCAGACGGACAGGCAGACAGACAAACGGGCGGACAGACAGGCAGACAGACAGACAGGCAGGCAGACAAGGCAGACAGACAGACAGGCAGACAGACAGGCAGACAGACGGACAGACGGAGACAGACAAGCAGACGGACGAGGCAGACAGACGAACAGGAGCAGAGCAGACAGACAGACACGGCAGACAGACAGGCAGACAGACGGACAGGCAGACAGACAGACAGGCAGACAGACAGACAGACAGGCAGACAGGCAGACAGACAGGCAGACAGACAGGCAGACAGACAGGCAGACAGACAGACAGACAGACAGACAGGCAGACAGACAGACAGGCAGAGCGACCCTATAGTGTGTCTGACAGAGGCTGATAAATATAACCCCCCAGTTGCCAGATATTACGACGGGAATATTATAAATGTTAATACACTAAAATCTCAGGAGTTAACGCAATGGTGGTTATCTCTCTATCTTATTATATCTCCCATATTAATACAGCTCACACACACACATACAGACATACAGGTAGATACACACACACACACAGACATACAGGTGAACCACACACACACACACGCAGACATACAGGTAGAGACACACACACACACAGACATACAGGTAGAAACACACACACACAGACAGACATACAGGTAGACACACACACACACAGACAGACATACAGGAGAACACACACACACACAGACATACAGGCAGACACACACACACACAGACATACAGGTGAAACACACACACACAGACATACGGTGGAAACACACACACGACAGACATACAGGTGACACACACACACACAGACATACAGGCCAACACACACACACAGACATACAGGTAGATACACACACACACAGACATACAGGTGGACACACACACACACGCAGACATACAGGTGAGCACACACACAGACATACAGGTGGCACACACACACACAGACAGACATACAGGTGAACACACACACACACAGACAGACATACAGGTAGAACACACACACACCAGACATAGTGAACACACACACCAGACATACAGGTAGAGACACACACACACAGACATACAGGTGGCACACACACACAGACAGACATACAGGTAGACACACACACACACACAGACATACAGGTGAACACACACACACACACAGACATACAGGTGAGAACACACACACACACATACAGACATACAGGTGAACACACACACACACACACAGACATACAGGTAGAACACACACACACACACAGACATACAGGTAGCCACACACACACAGACAGACATACAGGTGAACACACACACACACACAGAACATACAGGTGAACACACACACACACACAGACATCACAGGTGAGACACACACACACATACAGACATACAGGGTGAAACTACACACACATACAGACATACAGGTAGTCACACACACACACACATACAGACATACAGGTAGAGACACACACACACACACACAGACATATGAGCAGATACGCACACACATGCAGACATACAGGTAGATACCACACACACATACAGACATACAGTGAGAACACACACACACACACAGACATACAGGTAGATACACACACACACACACATACAGACATACAGGTGAATACACACACACACACACCCTACACTACAGGTAGACACACACACACACACACACACAGACATATAGGCAGATACGCACACACACACATGCAGACATACAGGTAGTGAATACACACACACACATACAGACATACAGGTAGAGACACACACACACACACAGACATACAGGTGATACACACACACACATACAGACATACAGGTAGATACACACACACACACATACAGACATGGTACAGCACACACACACACACAGACATACAGGTGGATAACACACACACACATACAGACATACAGGTAGATACACACACACACACACACATACAGACATACAGGTGAGAGACACACACACACACACAGACATACAGGTAGATACACACATACACACACATACAACAGACATACAGGTGAATACACACACACACACACATACAGACATACAGGTAGAGACACACACACACACACAGACATATAGGCAGATACGCACACACACACACTGCAGACATACAGGTAGACACACACACACACACACATACAGACATACAGGTAGACACACACACACACACACACATACAGACATACAGGTGAGACACACACACACACACACACATACAGGTAGACACACACACACACATGCAGACATACAGGTGAACACACACACACACACACAGACATGCAGGTAGAGAACACACACACACACATGCAGACATACAGGTGAAACACCACACACATGCAGACACAGGCAGAGCACACACACACACACAGACATACAGGTGAGAACACACACACACAGAACACATAGGTAGAGAACACACACACACACAGACATACAGATAGACACACACACACATACAGACATAGGTGAACACACACATACAGACATACAGGTAGAACACACACACACACATACAGGTAGACACACACATACACACACACACACACATACAGGTGAACACACACACACACATACAGGTGAACACACACACACACACAGACATACAGGATGAACACACACACACACACACACTACAGGTGAACACACACACACATACAGACATACAGGTAACACACACACACACACATACAGGTAGACACACACACACATACAGACATACAGGTGGTACACACACACACACATACAGGTGAACACACACACACACACAGACATACAGGTAGAACACACACACACACACACATGGTGAACACACACACACACACAGACATACAGGTAGAACACACACACACACACACACACATGGTGAACACACACACACACATACAGACATACAGGTAGAAACACACACACACACACACATGGGTAGACACACACACATACAGACATACAGGGAGACACACACACACACACACATACAGGTAGCACACACACATACAGACATACAGGTAGAACACACACACACACATACAGATAGACACACACACATACAGACATACAGGTAGAACACACACACACACACACACATACAGACATACAGGTAGAGAGACACACACACACACACAGACATACAGGTAGGCCACACACACACACAGACATACAGGTGGATACACACACACACACACACACACAGACATGCAGGTGAGAGAAACACACACACACACACACAGACATACAGGTGAGACACACACACACACACACATACAGACATACAGGTGAGAGACACACACACACACACACATACAGAGAACACACACATGACATCGGTAGACACACACATACACATACAGGTGAGCACACACACACATACAGACATACCAGGTAGAAACACACACACATACAGGCAACACACACACACACACATACAGACATACAGGTGAGCACACACACACACACATACAGGTAGACACACACACACATCACAGACATACAGGTGAAACACACACACACACACACAGACATGGTAGACACACACATGCACATACAGGTGAACACACACACACACATACAGACATACAGTGAGAGACACACACACACACACATACAGATGAACACACACACACATACCAGGTAAACACACACACAGACATACAGGTAGAAAACACACACATACACATACAGGCAAACACACACACACATACAGACATACAGGTAAAACACACACACACACATACAGGTAAACACACACACATACAGACATACAGGTGAACACACACACACACACACATACAGGTAGACACACACACACATACAGACATACAGGTGACACACACACACATGAACGACTGGTAGACACACACATACAGACATACCAGGAAGAGACACACACACACACACACATACAGACATACAGGTGAAACACACAC